CTAACAATGAACATTTGGAAACCATAGTTAGAAATACAATGCCATTTATAATAACTTATAAAAGAAAGAAATGCTTAGGTATGAATTTAACAAAACGTGTACAGAACTTGTTTGCTAAAAACTATAAAACACCTCGGGAGAGAAAAAAATCAAGATCTTAAGAGGGTGACATAGTGTGTTCATGGATGGAAAGGTCAAGGTGTCAGTTAAAAAAAAAAGATGTCAGTTTTCACCAAATTGACATCCAGATTGATGCAAATACTATTCCCAGCAAGGTTGTTGTAAATATAGACAAGATTATTTAAAAATCTATATTGAGGCTGGGCATGGTGCCTCAAGCCTATAATCCCAGGACTTTGGGAGGCCGAGGTGAGAGGATTGCCTGAGCCCATGGGTTCATGACCAGCCTGGGCTACTTGGTGAGACCTCATCTCTACAATAAATAAAAAAATTAGCTGGGCATGGTAGCATGTGCCTGTGGTTCCGGCTACTTGGAAAGCTGAAGCAGAAGGATCGCCTGAGCCTAGCAGGTTGATGCTGGGGTGGCCATGACCGTGCCACTGCACTCCAGCCTGGATGATGGAGTGGGCGATGGAGTGAGACTCCAGCTCAAAAAAAAAGAAAAGAAAAGAAAAAGAAAAATTCTATGTTGAAAAGCAAAAGAATTAAAATACCTAAAACGATTTTGAAAAAGAAGAGTAAAATGGAAGAATTATGACACTTGATTTCAAGATTTATTAGTAATGAAGACCATATGATATTAGCAGAGGAATAGACACAAAGATCAATGAAACAGAATAGAAAATCCAAGGGAGATACAGAAAAACCCAAAATGATTTTTTGGAGGGAAGGTTCCTTTGTAGTACACTCAGAATTTGTTCCTCTGGGTCAAACATTCAAAGAAAGTTTTTATCTGGAAGTTCTGAGAAGGTTGCATCATGATTTGCAGAAAAAAGTCCTGAATTGTGGCAAATGGGTGACTGGTTCTGCCACCATGACAACACACCTGCCCACATCACGCTTGATTTTTCAGCAGTTCTTGACCAAAAATGGCATGAATCCGGTGCCCCACCTTCCCCGTTCAACCAATCTCGCCCTGAGTAACTTTTTGTTTGTTTGTTTCACCAGATGAAAAAAGTTCTCAAGGGGAAACATTTGCCAGTGTGAAAGAGGTGAAACAAAAAAACAGCAGAAGCACTAAAAGTTGTCAAATTTGGCGAGTTCAAGAACTATTTTAAACAGTGGAAAAAGCATGTTGATAGGTGTATTGCATAAAACAGAGAGTACTTTGAAGGTGACTGAGGTTTAAACATGTAAGAATAAATACACAATTTTTAATAAGTAAATTTCTAGTTTTTGGTACCCTCCCTTGTAGATCCACACAAATATGCTCAACTGATTTTTTTGACAAAGGTGAAAAGCAACTCAATGGAATAAAGTGGCCTTTTAAAACAAATAGTGATAGAGCAATTGGACATACATAAGTCAAAAAGACAAGCAAAAAACAAAAATGAACCTTGGCCTAAATCTTACAGAATTAACTCAAAATAGATTACAGACTTAAATGTAAAACATAACATTATAAAACTTTTAGGAAAAAAAGGGGAATATTTTCCTAATCTAGGGCTAGAAAATAGTTCTTAGACTTGATACCAAAAGCACAACTCATTAAAGAAAAAATCTATAAATTGAAACTCACCAAAATTTCTAAAAAATTGTTTTAATGCGAAATAATTAATTAAGAGGATTTGAAGAAAAGCTACAGACAGGGATAAAATATTTGCAAACCACATATGCAACAAGGGACTAATGTCTCGAATATATAAAGAACTCTCAACACTCAACAGTTAAAAAAAATCCTATCAGAAAATGTACAAATGACACGAGCAGTCATTTCATTGGAGAGGATATGCAGATGACAAATAAGCATGAGAAAATATTCATCATCATTAACCATTAGGGGTATGCAGATTAAAATAATGAGATATCACTGCACATCTATCAAAATTACTTACATAAAAAAAATGACAATACTGAATGCCAATAAGGATACAGAGAAACTGGATCACTCACACATCTGTTGGAAAAGAAATATGGTACAGTCACTCTAGAAAACATTCTGACCACTTTTGAAACATACTGAAACAATTAAAAGTGCAGCTAACCATATGGCCTGGCAATTGTACTTCTGGTCATTTGTCACAGAGAAATGAAAACTTAAGTTTATAAAAAAAACCTGCATATGGATATTTATAGAAGCTTTATTTGTAACAGCCCTGAATCCAAGTAAAAAACAAACAAATGATGTTTTTTCAACAATTTTTTTATTGTTATTTTTTAGAGACAGACTCTTGCTCTGTCACCCTGGCTGGAGTTAGTAGCATGATCATAACTCACTGGAGCCTCAAACTCCTGGGCTCAAGTGATCTTCCTACCTTTGGTCTCCCAAAGCACTGTAATTTCAGGTATGAACCACTGCACGTAGCCCATCCTTCAATAATATTTAAATGAACTGTGGTACATTTGTATCATGGCATACTACTTAGAAACCTAGGGGAATGAGCTGTTGTTATACATAACACTCTGGATGGATATTCAGGGAATTACAATGAGTGGAAACGCAAACCCCAAAGTTTGTATACCGTATGATTCCATTTATATAACATCATGAAAGGTGAAATTATAAAAATAGCGAACAGATTAGGGGTTGCCAAAGGTTAAAGAGGAGGTGGGAATGGGAGAGAAGTGGGGGTGTCTATAAAAGAGCATTGTGAAGGATCTTTGTGGTGATGGAAACATTATGTACCTTGGCTGTATCAATGACAAACAGCCTGGCTGTGCTGCTGTACTATAGTTTTACAAGATGTTAATACTGGGGTGTACAGAGTAATGGATACATGGGATCTCTCTATAATATTTCTTACAACTGCAAGTTAATCTACAATTATCTCAAAATAAAAAGTTTGGTTAAAAAACTCACAAGTACCAATTCTACTACATAGTGTATGCTTGCCTTTATAACTCTAAAGCTGCTGACATTGCACAAAAAAGAACAAAAGGAAAGTGAATAAAGCAAACAAAAAAACCCATTGTTACAGAATTTATAACACTGCATATGATCATTTTTTACTGTGCAGTTATATCACAATTACTTTAAATACCATACATCAGCAGCAGTTATATCAACTATTCAATATGTTTGAACTTGGTTGGTCTACACTTGTGGTCAGGGTAAAAATAGATGTTACAAAAGGTCACATTCCCAATGGAAAACCAGGAATTCTCGTTTGAAATACAACTTTCACAATGAAAACTAACAAACAATTGTAGATAGCTCGGCTGGAAAGCAATATTGATGTCTGGATCACTAATATGAGAAAATGGGACTTCACTTTTCAATGGTTCGATGTTTGCTGGGCCCAGATTCCTGGAAACATCCAACAGTGTGTTGCAGGTGCAAGCATGTGGCATCTTACAGGTGGAATAAAAATTACTAATATTGCAGTATTGATGAACATAAATAATGTTTTGAGATAAATAATGGGATATGAAAGTATGAGGGTTTCTTTTGATGATAGAATGATGGATAAGATTGTGGTTTGTTGCCTACATTCATAATTCAAGAAAATGCTAAATTATAGTTAGAGAAGTCAATCAAAATGATGATATATTTTTTCCTCAACAGGGTCACAAGCCCCTTAACATCAGACCCTGTGATAGAGTATGTTTATAGGCTATTGAGTGATCTGAAAAAGAGGGAAAAATTAACGATGTAAGAGAGAAAGGCATACATGTTGAAACAAAGAGAAAGCAAAAAAGTACAGGAACCACAACACCGGTGAAAGAGTGTTAGCATTTCACAGGGGCAAGATTTTCCACCCGTGTTAACAGTAGAGAAAGCATGGAGAATGACTACAAATGTGTATACCTTTCAAGGGTTGGTGGTGAGAAGATGAAGCTGCATTCTCCATTCTTCCAGTGAATTACAAGGCAGGGACACTATCTCAGAGTGGAGAGGTTTGGGCAAGGTATACGGGTGAAACAATTATTCCAGAAAGTAAGAAAGTGCATAGTATTGCAAGATACTGTTGAGTAACCATGGATTTCCTGTAAAACCAGCAGGCACTATTTTTCTCTTGATCAATATATATTTATTTATATTTTTTTAAAAAATATTTTTTATTTTAAAGATATAGGGTACAATTCAGGATTAGGTATACAAGTGGTCATTGTACAGGTAAAGTTTGGGCCTCCCTTTGGTCCCCACTTTGCCTGGTTTGAGACCAGGTACCCTTATTGATGTTGTGTTCCCCCCACCACCCTCCTCCCACCCCAGCAGTATCCCACTACTGCCAATCCCTTTCTTATAGTATTATGGTAAATGTTCAGGGTCCGCTTATGAGTGAGAGCATGTGGTACTCTGTACTTTGTTTCTGTGATAGATCACTGAGTATTATTGACTCTAAATTCATCCAAGTTGCTGTGAAGTCCATATGTTTGTGCTTCTTTATGGCTGTGTAATATTCCATTGTGTATATGTACTGCATTTGTTTTATACAGTCCAGTTTTGATGAACAGCATAGTTGTTTCCATGCTTTTGCTATTGTGAATAGTTTGAGCCAATATTGACTTATAAATTGCTTATAATTCTACTGATATCTTGAAAACAGTGTTCAAATGTCACACCACTGATATAATTTCTAATTGTTATTTATAATTATATTTTCTATTTATTTCATATTATGAGAAAGGATGGTGCAAATAAATAAAAACATGATCCAAAGGAACATTACTTATTAAAACAAAACAGATTGGGATTTATATAATTTAGATTTAGCTGAAACAATGAAAGTGTACAATTAATTACAAAATACAATCATAACAAACTTTCTCTTGAGTACAACTTTGGCATCAGTGTTCTTGAGGAAGACTTTAAAAAATACAACCCATGACTTAGAAATGCTTACTGATACAATCTGTGTTTGTGTGTTTTATTTCAGTATGGACCAGTATTTACAGTCTTCGCTGTTGGAAAGCGAATGACCTTTGTTACAGAAGAAGAGGGAATGACTGTGTTTCTAAAATCCAAAAATGTAAATTTTGAACTAGCGATCCAAAATCCCATCTACCGTACAGGTAAAGAATATATTCAGATAGTTCATCTGAAATGCAACATTGGAATCTAAGGATCGTTTTAGGTAAAAGTTACATCCTCACTCTATTAAGAATGATGAGGATTCATTATTTTATTGTTGAGGTAGGACTATTAGGGGAAAAGAATGTATGATGAGTTTGGTCATTGCAAAGCACCTCATTGGCAGCCTAATACATTTAGATTTCAACTGGACTTGTGAAAGAGATAAGGTTACCTCACTGATGTTTTCTTTAGAGAATACGTGGAATCTGTTACAGCTCCTAAGATGACACTAACACTGTTCAGCTGCTGTGTATGCCATGTTCTACAAGCTACAATGTATGTGTGGCCTGATTACATGTTGTCATCCTGCTCCCTGAAAGTAGAATTCCACTGATTAGTAAGTCCTTTACTATGGCATTTCCTGACTTATCCCATGGAGCTGTTAAGGCAAGTGGGGGCTTGGCTTGCCCTTTCACAAATTCTCTATCCTCAGAAACTGCCAGATTATAGTGGTTGGCATGCTTCCAAGGTGGCAGTCTGTCTTCATTTCTTTCAGGTTGCAAATGTGTGTGCTGCGGTCATTTGTCCTCTCTGAATGAAGAGCTGGTTCATTTTGTGGCCAGTTCTTTTCTCTGCTCGCATATGCTTGCACATGCTTCTATTCTTTAGGGTTTCTTTCTCTGTTTCCCTTTTTTCATCTTTGGTTCTTTTTCATGTGACCTTCTTTGCATTTCTTACCATTAAGATAAAAAAAGTCTGTTTTAAAAGTCATCAGTGATCAATAGCATGATTATTTTTTTCTTCTTGCTTGCATGAGAATCACAACATGTTGGTTAAATCCTTTGACTGTTTAATGCTTCTTGATATTCGGACTGTGGAATTCCAGATCAAATAATATAAATATTTTGAAGGCTTTTGATGTGTGTAGTCACATGTCCCTTCAGAAAAAATATTCCAACTTACCTATAGAGGTATATGGAAATGATCAAGTTGTTTTACCTGGGCCTCTCTTGGGGACTTTCATGTTTAAATATTTCTATTTTAACAGATGCAATATGTTAATATTTACTCTTGAGCCAGCTTCTCATTTCTCCCATATATTCCCCCACCACAGAGAACATGTATGCTCAGGAACTCTGAAAATGGTTTTCAGTTAACTTACACAAAATATAACCTACTCGTAATATGAAATACAAAATTAGAAAATATTCTCTGAAAAAGTTATTTCAAAGACAATACAAGATAAAAGAAAAATATAAAGAAATGAGCTTAAGAAAAACAAAAACACCACTTCACTCATACTCTTGCCACCCCAACCTATTCAGGCGTGTATACTGTGGAGGGAGCATGATGCTAACAGAAAAGAAATAGTGCATTCAATACTATTCTTGGTGTTAGGAAAGGCCTTCCAGTGGAAGTAATATTCAAAAAGACACATGAAACATACAAAGAAATTAGCAGGAGAAATGTGGGTCCTATGATGGTGGGTGTGTGGGAATGGGGTTAGAGATGGGGTGATAAAGTAGAGGATGAGTAGACAGAACAGTTTCTGAAAATGCTGGGATATGTAAAATACTGTGTGTTTTAGTACACCTGGAATGTAGATTTGGACGGGCAAGGGCCAGAAATACCAGCCCTCTTCATCACCCATTTATAGATCATCCCTTAAAGTGAATTATTCTACAGACTTTTGCTATCTCACAATATAGTGTTGAATCTTTATCTACTTTCATTTATTAGAGGTGAAGTTATCTGCTGGGAGGACTTTGACTATAGTCCCTACTGACCAAATGATAGTAGTAGTATATTGACTGTGTGCTTCAGGGAGTTGTTGCTTATTTTGAAAATACTTTTCTCTATTTATAGTATCAATTCCAAAGAATATCTTTTTAACACTGCATGAAAAACTCTATATTATGATGAAAGGGAAAATGGGGACTGGCAATCTCTGTCAAATAACTGGGCAACTGACTGAAGAATTACATGAACAACTGGAGAATTTAGGCACTCATGGGACAATGGACCTGAACATCTTCTTGAGGTAAATAGGTAACTAGATGCATTCACATGACTTAATCTTGCTTTTTGGAATAAGCAAAAAATTAAAACCTGTACATTGAACTTCAAAAATTATCTGATGAATTAATGAAATTTACCTAAGTTATTAAGATATTTTTTCTTTTAAATTCTAATTAGTGGGCAATTTTTAGTTTAGCTTTTCTGTTTTAGCAAATAAGACAAATGAAATAGTTTTAATATATTTACAGTAATTTCTCCTTAGTTATTTCATATAATTGTGTAGACTCCACATGGATATGGATGGTTGTATGACTCTTATAATTGTCATACAACCATCAGAATTTTGGTAAAACATTCAGTGCAATTGTGATTATAACAAGAGGCTATTGAGAGGACAGGGAAGAGAATGGAATCATAAAAGATGACAAGGGCCAGGAGATTTACTTTGAGACTTATGGATCTGGCAAAGTTAATATGGGTCACAGGACTTAGCCTCGGGGTTCTCTTAGAAAGCGGCTCCCAAGAGACAGGTAGACAGCAAAGAACAGTAGTCAACCTCTTTCTGACCCTTTGGAAGAAGTTAAGAATTGGACATGGAGCCATGAGAAAAATTTCCCACATGGTTAAGAAAATTTGGTCAATTGCAGTTATCTAAGGCACTTTCGCACCTCGGTGGAATTCTGGAATGCACTAGGCAGGATTAAACATTTCTGATTCATAAAACAGAATGAGATTTAACATTTTGTTAGAGGTTCATTGGTAGGGGGAGGGACCAGCAATCAAATTAAAACATTTTCTGAAGCATGCCCAATACCTACAACAAAACAAAGATATTTAAATAAATGAAATATTCTTGAATATTTTTGAAACTTTGAGGAAGGAGATTCTGAAAAGATGGTAAATAAGAATTTTAAAAAACAATATTTCGTGTTACTGATCTAGGGCATGTTAACAATCTTTGATATTCTTTTTCTTACATATGCCACAGCAATCATTTTATTCACTTAATGGCAAAACTTATTGGTGGTAATATGTACTATATCTCAATATACAATAATTTGAGTTTATGGGATCATATGAGAAATTAGGAAATTTGGTGACTAATATTGCCCTGTATTCTTTATTCTTTTTTTTCTTTTTACTGCTGTTTAAAGGCATGAATTGCATCTTAGTTATTGTTATTTGCTAAATAAATTCTTGTTGAATTGTACTGAATTCATTTATTTCTGTTGATCATCTCTTATTTGCCAGGGTCTAATATGCTTACTTAGAAAGCGTTTTAAAATCTTGAGATAAATAAATTCATAATTTCAATTCTCCCTGAAATATCTTGACCACAGTAAGCAAATATTAAAACTTCTTAAGAGTGAGTACTTCCCAAGATTATCTGTCACACATTATTTACCCCTACTATATCACTGTTAAATAATGCCCTTTTGGGACTTTTGTCTTTCTTCATTGGTTGTTGAGTCTGATTTTCTATGCGTCTCTGTTTTTGTAGGCATGTTTTTTATCCAGTCACAGTGAATATACTCTTTAATAAAGGTTTGTTTTCCACAAACAAGAAGAAAATGGAGGAGTTCCATCAGCAGTTTCAAGCTTATGATGAAGGTTTTGAGTATGGTTCCCAAATACCAGAATGTTTCCTAAGGTAGAGGATTGTTTTCTGTAACTAATTCATTGACCAGGCTCCTTTCAGCAATTCATATATTTCTCCCATTTCTCTGTTCTAAATAAATATAGGCCACGTGTGATAGATCACACCTATAATCCCAGTACTTTGGAAGGCTGAGGCAATAGGATTGTTTGAACCCAGGAGTTTGAGATCAGCCCGTGAAACATAGGGAGACTTTGTCTTTACAAAAATTCAAAATATTAGCCAAGAATGGTGGTGTGCACCATAATCCCGGCTACATTGGGAGGCTGAGGTTGGAGGATCACCTGAACCCAGGAGATTGAGGCTACTGTAAGCTGATATCCTGCCACTGGACTCCAGCCTGGGTAACAGTGAGACTCCGACTCAAAAGAAAAAAAAAAATTGTAACTATAACAGCAGATTAAGTAGAAGCGAAGCTATGTCTTATGGCCTGTTTGTTTTTAGTGTCTGTGTGTGAATTGAGGGAGAAACAAAGAAGAATGATATATTCCTTCCTTTTTCTTATTTTGATGAGCAAAATCCAAAGAGAGGAAGAGAAAGATTGATGGAATTAAGAATTTGTTTTGAGACAATTTTATCCCATTTACAGTTTATTATGATCACATTCATTGCTACAGTTTGAACCTAGGCTAAATCATCCATGTGAGCAGTCCCAGAATCAGTCATTGGAGCCCTCATTCTCGCTGAGGCAAGAGTGGGTGCAGTCAAATGTATTACTTACAGTTGGCACTGGCAAATGTTTGTAAAATGGTTCATATGCAAAGTAACTGCATGATTTTTTAATTTCTTGGCAGTTTCTTTATGTCTTATTTCATTTGGGCTGCTATAGCCAAGTATCATATGCTGGAAGGGCTTATAAACAACAGAACAACTCACTATTTTTTAAAATTCTGGGGGCTGGGAAGTCTGAGATCAGGATTATAGCATGGTTGGGTTCTGGTGAAGTTCTTTTCCAGGTTGCTGCTCCCAGTTTATAACTGTGTACTCACATCAGGTACCCCAGGCTTCTTTCATAAGGGCCCTAATCCCATTCATGACAGCTCTACCCTCAGGACCTAATCACCTCCTGAAGGCTTTACTTTCTAATACCATCAGCTTGGGGGTTAGGATTTCAGCATATAGATTTTGGGAGGATATGAACATTCAGACCATAGCAGTCTATAATGGCAACTGTTCAGAAAAGACTTAAAATATTACAGCCAGTTTGTCTTTCCCTGCTCAATCCAGCAGTTGGTATCTGTGCTGGGTTTTCATCAACAGCCACAGTAAAAGCAGACCAAGCAAATTGTGGGCTCTGCCTTCTTGAATATTCAGTGCCAATCCAATAGGAATCCAAAGATGTATTTATAGAAGACATTAACATGTGTTTGTCTTACCACCTTAATTATCTTTATGGACTAATAATTGTGAAGGTAAACCTTTCATGAAATTCTACTTGAAAGTGAAGAAATTTGGAGAAATAATTATAATTCCTTTTTATGCTATGACCTATTTTTCCTAAAGTGTTTTCAAATTAATTTCTACACTTTTTTTAAATTTAGAAACTGGTCAAAATCCAAAAAGTGGCTTTTAGCAATGCTTGAGAAAAACACTCCAGTTATAAAAGCGTACAAATCTGCAAATATCAATACCACGGTAAGTATTTGCTACTTTTATTTTTTTGCTAACATATATGACATGAAGATAGTAAGAAATTTGACCTTGGCCTCAATTTCCTCACCTATCTCATAAAGTTGTTATTGGTTTAATTTTTGTAAAGCACTTAAAACAGAATAAAGAATAGATAAGAGCTTACCATTGTTATGATTTTAAAAAATCATTTCAAATCTTTTAGTATTTAAAGATGATATCAAAAGTTTTTGTTTGTTTGTTTTTTAGTTATATAGCAAATATTTTTACAAACAACTCTGCTTAAAACCAGAAAGGAAGATAGACTTAGAAATAAGCGAGGCATCTTTAATCTGAAGAAGTGAGGCATTTTTAATCACATGTACTTGAACTCTCTATTCTAATAAAGAAAAAATTTGAACTTTGCTGAAGCCAATCAATCGATCCTGTGTTTAATACTTTGGGAGATAATTCAGCTTGAACATTCATGAGCAATTTCACTTCATTTTTTAAAAATGTATTGCTTCTCTTGTTTTCCTCCAGCAGGGTTCACATTGAGTTTCTGTTTTAAACCCATATGTTTTAAAACATGTGAGCTAAGAAGCAATTTAAAAGATTGTATTGTCTTCTGCCTAAGTAGTTTTCAATGGCCTAATAAAGAAGACTGGGTAGAAGTTGTGCTTCATTTTTTAAAAACTGCACACATATGTTATTACATTATAAATATAAAATATGATGATTTCTTTCATACTATTTTAGATATATTCAATTAGTGTCTTCATTGAAAATTATTACAAATTTCACAAAGTAATTTCTCATTTATTTTTCACTACAACTTTATTAAGAAAAAAACCCTGGAAATTATTAAACCCAGAAAGCCAGGAATTAGAGTAGTCAGTTGCTTTTGGAAAGTTGCATGCCTTAATAAGTAACAGTAACAGTCTCTATTTTATCTTGTGTTTTTGTGTATATTTTTGTTTGTTTGTTTGTTTTTTAGTCAGGGTCTCACTGTGTCACCCAGACTGGAGTTCAGTGATATAATCAGGCTTACCACTGCCTTGACCTCCTGGGTTCAGGTGATGCTTCTGCCTCAGCTTCTCAAGTAGTTGGTACTATAGGTGTGCCACCATGCCCAGCTAATTTTTTGTTTTACTGTAGAGATAAAGACTCACTATGTTACCCAGACTGTTCTCAAACTCCTGAACTCAAGCTATCTTCCTGCCTCCCAGACTGTTCTCAAACTCCTGAACTCAAGCTATCTTCCTGCCTCAGCCTTCCAAAGGGTGGGATCACAGATATGAGGCACTGTGCCCAGCCTTGTGTGTGTGGTTTTTTTTTAATATATATAATTTAAAGTTGTGGGTTACAGTTAAGGGTTAGGTATACAAATATTCATTGTGCAGGTACCCTTGTTGATGAGGTATGCCCCCCTTTCCTCAGACAGATATTGACTACCGTTAATCCCACCTCCCTTCCCCTCCCTGTCCCCACCCCATAGTTTCCTGCCACTGTCAATCCTTTTCTTATAGTATTAAGGGAGTTGTTCAAGGTCCACTTATGAATGAGAACGTGATGCTCAGATCTTTGTTTCTGTGAGAGATCACTCAGTATTCTAAACTTTAATTCCATCCAGGTTGCTGCAAAATTCATGATTTTGTTCTTTTTTATAGCTGCATAATATTCCATTGTGTATATGTACCACGTTTTTAAAATCCAGTCCTCTCTTTTGATGGACAGCATGGTTGGTTTCATGATCTTGCTATTGTGAACAACGCTGCGATAAACATACATGTGCAGGTATCTTTTTTATAGAGTGATTTGTGTTCTTCAGGGTATATTCCCAGTAGGGGGATTGCAGGGTCATATGGAAAGGTCGATTTTTAGAGCTTTAGGAATCACCACACTGATTTCCACAGAGGCTGTACTAGTTTACACTCCCACCAACAGTGTAGAAGTGTTCCCTTTTCACCACATTCTCTCCAGCATCTGTTATTTTTTGTTATTGATAATAGCCATTCTGACTGGAGTTAGGTGGTGTCTCAGTGTAGTTTTAATTTGCATCTCCTTGATGACTAGTGAAGTTGAACATTTCTTCATGTATCTGTTGGCCGCTCTTACGTCTTCTTTTGAGAAATGTCTGTTCATATCTTTTGCCCACTTTGTAATGGGGATGTTTGTTTTTTTCTTTTCAGCACTTTTGAGTTCCTTGTAGATCCTTGATGTTAGGCCTTTGTCAGACATGGAGTTGGCAAATAGTTTTTCCCAGTCTGTGGGCTGTCTCCCTGCTCTCTTGATGGTTTCTTTGGCTTTGTAGAAGCTTGTCAGTTTAATGAAGTCCACTTGTCTATCTTATCTCTTATGGTGTGGGCACTTCGGGTTTTGCTCAGGAATTGGATGCCAGTTCCAACTTCCATAAGGGTGTGTCCTGCATTTTCTTTTTTTTTTTTTTTTTTATCAGTATTTTTATTATAGTTTTGTGGGGTACAGTTAAGGGTTAGGTGTACAATTACGTTTCATTCAGACACCCTGTTGATAAGAGGTGTTTTCCCAGCCCCAGACAGATATTTGCTACTGTTAATCCTATCTCCCTCCCCCCCATAGTTTCCTAGTACCGTCAGTCATTTTCTTATATTATTACATTGGATGTTCAAGGTCCATTATATGAGTGAGAACATGTGATATTCTGATCTTTGTTTCTGTGTGAGGTCACTCAGTATTATAGACTCTAGTTCCAACCAGGTTGCTGCGAAATTCATGATTTTGTTCTTTTTTATGGCTGCGTAGTATTCCATCGTGTATATGTACCACATTTTTTTAATCCAGTCCTCTGCTGTTGATGGGCAGCATGGTTGTTTTCCAGGTT